CGGGAGAGAGAAGCGCTCGGCTGCCAATACGCATGCGCACCCCGCGCGCTAAAACCTGAGGGACGGGGCGGGGCCGCCATTTTGTTAGGGGTCGGAAGGGGGAACGTAGAGAGCGGTTAACCCCTGCGTGCTGCTGTTCGGTGTTAGTGGATTCCTCTGTAGGATAAAGCTTTTTGCTGTAGTTAAGGAAGGACTTCAGGGGCAAGGCTCGCAGGGGGGAATGGGACAACTGCAGTGCCTTGTAGGGCAGGGAGAGAAAATGAGGCAGGGCTGAGGCAGCAGCATGAGGTGGGATAGTATCGGGGGAGAGAAAAACCACTGACAACGCCCTAAAAGCTCCTGTATCTCAAAAAGAGAAGCAGCTAATTATTTTGTGCTGTCTCCTTTTCAAGTATCACTTCTAGCTGGTAGCATCCATGTCCAAAATGTGTGCTTTCTTCCCCTATAAAGAAGGATTTGCGGGGGTTTTCCGAGCACTAGCTACTCTGAGCATGCTGTGTTTAAAATGAGGAATAAAATTAGATTAATTCCTTGAGAGTCAAGACTGGGAAAGCGAGTTACTGTCTTGTGCCCATTTTAAAAGCTTTCTCTTGAAGCACGGGTTTGTTTCTTCACCTGGAGGCACTAATAAATACAATTGAAAGACTTGGTTACATGCTGTGTTCAGGTATTTTGCAAGAGGGAAATAACCTATCCTGGTTGTAACAATACTGAATTTAAATAGTAAAGCCTTGCTTTTGGCTATGTAAGGCATCAGTATACCTGTAGCTTGAGTGCAGGTGGTTTGTTTCTTATCACAATATGCTTCAATTTGAATATTTCCAATTTACAAGGCATAAAAGCTCAGATTTCTATGTACTTCAGTGACTGAAAGCTGTAGTTGAGATTATCAGTCTTCCTAATTGGTAGGGAACATAAAAGAGCATTTTTGAAGGATGGCTTGCATTGGAGATGTTAATAATCTGGAAATTTAAGCTTTATGTTATTAGAATAACTAATAAAAGTTAGTGTAGCTGAAGGTATAAATGATGAAACTTTTAACACTATTTCCCTTATTTAATTAAAAAAAAAAAATAGTAATTAGAAAGGGCAAAGAGAAAGAAGACTGTACCTGTAGGCTTGCGTTTGACTTTCATCAAGCATAGCAGCACTCCCATGCACACAATCTTCATCCGAGAAGTCAGGTGGATGAGATGCTGAGCTCTTACTTTCAGAAGCTGACAGAGCAGAACTTGAACTGATACTTCTGGAGGTCCCACGATGCTCAAGGAAGTAGTTAGTAATAATTTCAAGAAGTGTTTTCAGTGGGTTCTCCTTTGCCTATCCGAAAAGAAAAATCAAGTTCTTGGTGATTGCTGCAGCCTAAGATAGGAGATATATATATATATATACATAATTTATTTTTTTACACTGTACAGCAGCTGAACATATTAACTACTTGGTCTATGGGTGTATTCCAGATGTGTATTCCAGGTGTGATTGTACAAACAATCCAAGGAACTGGAATACGTCAGCTGGAGAATGTCAAGAGCTCAAAGGTGTCCCTGTGTTAAATGAAGTAAGCGTGATACAGAAGAAACAACCTGTTACGGTCATTCCTTATTCTTATTTTAGCTAAACATTGCAAAGTAAACTAAAACACCTTTTCTAATGTTACCTGGTCAACTTCAGAAGGATGTAGAATGACCTGCAAGTATATTTAGTACTTGACTTCAGTATTTGTGGTTAATTTTAACAGAACTTTGTGAGAAGCATGGACTCTGGAACTTTATTCATCTTCTTGGGATAACTCTTTTAAGTACAGGGCAACACCCCACCCTACTTGGTATACTGTTTTTCAGCAGTACTCTGGAAAATGTGCCCTGTGTACAAAAGCATTTAATTAAAAAAAAAAAAAACTGAAAACCACCAAAAACCAGCACAGAAATTCAGGGCTTAAGTAAAAAAAATGCTACTATAATGTGTGCTATAGTGATGCAGCTACACTGGGAGGTTTGGTAGGTTTTGTTTGGGTTTTTTGGTTGGTTGGTTGG